TTTACCAGTACTGAAATTTGTTGCATTGGTTTTCGGCATGGTGACTGGAGTGAAATGTATTCATTTAATGTTTTAGAAATCAGTTTGAAATCATTTACTTTTTGTGACATGATATTGTCTTGTTCATAATAGCCATAAAAAGATGGGTACGCTGTATTCATTAAAGGATGGATTTGGCCATAGACCTTGATCAGTTGGTAAAACAGAACATTATCATTATCCCACCACAGCCATCCTGAGCCTTCAAAACAAGGTGGTATGGATCCATAATTTACTAATATTTTACCACATCATCTGAATATTGATGCTGAAATGGAGACTCAATGGACTAGGAAACATGCTTCTTTCACAAACAACCATACAAATGCAACTCAAACCTCCTCTCTTCAACATTTTGGTGCTGGATTTTAGCATTAGCATCTTTAGATGCCTAAATGTTTTCTTTATTGTTTGTGTTGTTATTGGCATATATGGGGTTAAACAATTTAATAAAAGAGGATGTTAGAGTAGGTCTGAAGATTTACTTCTCCTCCAAATTCTGCACCGGAATCTACTTCAGTTAAAATGTTCCTGAATTCAGTTTTTTTTGGTGACGTTTTCCCTCATTTTCTTCCATTCTTAAGGTAGTGTTGAAATTAGGTTTTCAAATCAAATCCAAATTTCTCATCAGATGAGTTCGCAGAAGCAGGTGTTACAGATTCTATCAGCACTGCAGTCGTCTCTGAAAACACCCTGGTGTCACAGCCCTGTTCCTGTTCTTCCTGTTTCTCACATTTGTGATTTTTGATCCTAATTGACCACTGGCTGTCCAACAAATTGCTCTTCAGAGATAATAAAGATTTACTTGAGAGCGTGGTTTGGACCAGGCATCACCTGCTCAATTCAAACCCTCTGTGGTTTTCCATGAGCGTCTGTAATTACTCTCAGCCAAATATCCTTTTGTGCTCAGCTGTGATTCGAGACAGCGGTGTCCTGACTCTGACTCTCCTCCGCTTTGTAATCTTTATTGACCCATTATCCTGCCGTGTCCTCCAGAAAAAGACTCTTCTTATACTGGTGTCACCACAGGCATTATAGGTTGTCTCACATTCAGTCTATGTGATCTTCAACAATGTTGGGATAAAGTAAAATACATGTGAAAAGTATTTAATTTTGAAATATGGTTCTTAAGCCACAAATCTTAGAGTCAAGCAATACAATAAAAGGCATTTAACAACCAGGCAATATTTTTTTAAGTTAAGAATTATTAATTATTTACTATAGAAAAGATAAACTATTTTAAAAATACATTTAGTATACTTAGGTGATGATATGGACAGAGACAGGCACTTTACTAAATAACAGATGCTTTGCTCAATTTTTTGAACATGCCATTTGGAAATATAAATCCAAGTCACTGAATGTACACTTGGTTTCATGACAGTTTAGAAATAACTTTATTGGATATTTTTCAACGAACAAACATGACCTGAAAGGACTGAAAGAAAAAGTAAAGCTGGAAGAAAACAAGATAGGAATTACATTTGCCTTTTATGCATGTTAGTTTTCACATCTCTCTAATGCGACATATCCACACACATCACCCCAATAACCCAGAACTGTGTTTGTTTCACCCTTATTTGGTTGTGGTTTGCTGTACTCTTGAAAACAAAGTGTTGGGGCTTACCGTAGTGAATCTTCACGCTAGTACGAAGAACAGTCTTTATAGTGAGGCGCTACACACACAGCAGTAACACCAAGGGTAGATAAAAGACTTCCTCCTCCTTATGTGCTGACAGGATGGCTTAAAGAGCTGATTCAGACATCAGTCAACACTCTGTGCTTCAAGATTAACACGGCTTTATTTGGACTATTCAAACAAGGAAGCTGTGAATGTATGAGGACTTCCTGTGAAACGCTAATTACACAAGAACAGTCTTAATACAACTGTGAATGTGCTCAGCATCTTCATCGTATTAGTTTTTAACAAGAAGAAACATATTGTTGATAATTACATTTACATTATAAAGTAAGATGAGATTTTATGCATCTGATTAGTGATGATGAAACTGTATTGCAAAGTTGAATCATGGTAAAGTTGTAACAGAAATGTTGTTGAAAGCTTTGAACTGACCAAACATTCATAACACTTTTTTTCTGCACAGTGAAAATGCAATAGTGACACAACTGCCCTATTTAATCCTGTCCAGTCCTCTCTATAACCATCAGGTATGTGACATTAATTTTGTCCTTTATATGTGTCCCTAAGTGCCTGAAACTTTGTTCTCTGACTATCCCACTTCATTTTGAATTTCTGTACTTGCAGGGAGGTACAATAATACTCCCGAAAAGGTCAAAGGGTGGCGCCAAACATGCAGTTTGTAAACAAAGATAAAGAGGAGTAAGAACAACATTTTATCGTCACGTCTGCCGATTTCCCACTGTGAATGATCTAACTCGCAATTCAGAAAGGTGAAAAAGAAAGCTAAATATATACTTCACTTTGTTGTTAGTATATGTTTTTATGAAGGTGAAGCACAAAGCAAAACTGTTTTATTCTTCCCTGTTCCATCAAAATTAGCATGAGAAATACACATTGTTCATTCTTCTGTATTAGCGCAAAAGCATTGGGATGGAGGTGGGGGAGTTTAACGTCTTGAGTATGCTGAGGTGAAAAACTGTAAGTTCGTCAAAGAGTAGATTTAAAAAATGTGGTTGTTCGTTTGTTTTTGAAATGGAGTGTATTCCACTACACAAGGTTTTTGACATGATATGTGTTTGTCTGAATGCCAATTGCAGTATGCTTCAATAATTGACTCCTGGACATTTCATGTGCAACAAGAGAAGGCAAACTGTTTCTTTTTCTTTTACCCTTTGGTACTGATCCGACCTGTTACTATTGATTGCTTGTACCACATTGGTCATGTCATTGCCCAATTATAACAAACAAAATGACAACATATTTCCCTCACAATATTTTCTTTGTACTATCTCTGTAGTAGTTGCGATAGACCGTATAGCGCGTGTCAGTGCCTTGCTCATGAGTCTATCCACTGTTGTGCCTATAGATCACAGTGTTTCACAGTAGAAAACCCATCGCTGCCTGCTATTGAACTGACACCTTCTGCTGTAAGTCATTCTCCAAGACTGTCCTCCTGCCACTTTGCTGGTTCATCCAGGATGACACTGCCGATTAAAATCATCGAATTGACTCCCAATACAAGTTCCTGTCTCATCCTCAATTCCCTGCAGGGATCATTAAAACTCCATCTTACACCAACTCAGACCAGGGAGATTTCCTTGTCCATACGCAATCTCTGAGAGGCCTGATGAAGCTGCTGAGTCTGCGCTCGTAACAAGGTGGATGATTCAGACCCAGACGTCTGAATCACTCCAGAGAAGTTTCACAACCACTTTAAGATAGCACTCTATTAAAAGTCAGTCTGGAATTCTGAGGTTCAGCCATTGGATATGAACTCAACTGTCTCTGCACACAAGACAGAACACATGAACCTAGAATTGTATGCAATTATTATTTTTTATTCACATCTGAAGTTCCATATTGTTTTCAGTTCAAAAGTCAGAAAAACAAGGTTGTTTTATAAGAACTCTGAAGAAAAAAAAAAATTTTGTGAACACTTACAACTGAAAACTTGTTTCATTTCCTCATTTTGCAGTAGAAACACTAACCAAGTACAAAGAATTCCTTTAAATGTGCTAATCAAGACAAGGCTGTTTGTTACTACCAGAACCTTGATTTAAGTGTTGCTATTAGCATTACATCCCCAAGGAATTTGGGAAACAGGAATACAAACCATTTACATTTAAAACATGATATTTTTGTCAACTTTATTCACACACACACACACATCAGAAACTCATCAATCAGAGGCATGCAGCGGGCAGGGCTGGCTTCAGCACATGCTTCCTCTCCAAGTTTCTGTGCTCTGGTCCAGTACACCAGACGTGATGCAGAGGGTGCAATGGACTCCCAGAAGATCCGGAACACACATTCAGATGGAAATTTGGTGTAGAACCGGATCTGATCATCAGAGGCACAGTAGTGGCTAAAAAGTGTGGCAGACAAATCCACTTTTTGAAGTCTGGCCTCCAACTCCTTAATATAAACCAGAGCTTCATCAAGTGCACCTGTAAAACCACAAAATAAAATAGCAAAACATACGGTTAGCAATAAGTTTTAATTATATATTTGAAACATTACTTCTGTGAAGATCAATACATGTTGTGAGTCGGAGCATGTATGTATACAGTCATTGACTTAATCTCTCCACAAAATACATAACCACATAATCTCATAATTTCATAATTATGTGACCATAATAATAATAATATTATAGCAACAGTTATATTTCACTGAAATTCTCTTACATGGAAAATATATACAATATACTATCTTTTACCTGCGGGTGGATGTGCCGTGTAGTCATGGTCCGCAGTAGCATCTTCAGCCTGGCTAGCTTTCTGAGAGGACAAACTGCCGTTTCTTAGCCCTCTCGAAAGCAGACTCTCTCATTGCCGGTGCAGTGACGTTATTCCAGGCAAACAGGGAAGGAACAGCTCCACTTCTAAGGCGGCTGGTGGTGAATCCGCTAACAAAATCCTCCGGCGCAAAGTGGCGGCCACATACGAAAGTCTTTATGCAAAAGTCCGGACCTTCGTTTCTTCGGATCGCCTGGATCCACTGCCTCCGTTGGTCCGGGTCCGTCAGGAACGCATGATATGACAGATAAGGCTGTTTTCGTGACAGATAAGGCTGTTTTCGTGCCCCACATGAACAACCAGGGACTGAACAAAAACACAGCGCCGAGACAGAGCCGTTTTCCTAGACTTTTAATGCTAACGCTATAGCCACCGGAAGTTGTCCAACCCCACATCCGCTTTATAAAACGCATGCGCACAACCGCCAGAGTCCCGCGCATGCGCACAACCTCCCGGGCCCCGCCCCTGTAGTCATGGTCCTGCAGTAGCATTTTCAGCCTGGCTGGCTTTCTGAGAGAGGACAAACTGCCGTTTCTTAGCCCTCAAACCCGGAAGAGTGAAAAAGATCTTACCACCAAGTTCATTAGCTCTCATGTGATTTCACTGTGCTATCCGTTCCATTAGCAGTCACGTGGTAATTCGGGCTATGCTTCATTATACGGATAGCTACGGCTCACCAAGTGTGGGAGATGTTACATACAGTAGGCTATCTGCCGCAGGTTAGCTTCAAACTGTTTGAAACGACTTATCTATTGCTTATGTTCTGACCGATTTACCTCTTATCTGTCAGATATCTGTGTTTGTGGGGAAAAATAATAAAAAAATAAGCTAATTGTTAAATTGGTAAAACTGGTGACTGTTTTATTTCAGGAGTTAGCATGCTAGAGCTAGCCTCCAGGTTGTTTCTAACTGTGTTTAATCAGTGGTATTGCTAACAAACTTTATATGAATGAGGGTCATTCTATTTATATCAGGAACTTATTTTACTATAGCTTACTACAATCAAAATAGTTGAAAATATATGTTTTTAATCAAAATACTAATTATATTTATGTAATGGTTTTGATATTGATAAGGTTTATTTATTTATTTTTTTGTCTGTTTTTAGGCCAGGTTCCTGTTCCATGTCTGTTGGTGTGCTGACGAAGCTGACATCGAGCTCATCCTGCTCTAAACCAGGAGATCTGTTTAATCCTGACAACTTCCTCCAATGCGGTAGGAGGCATTCTTGCCTATATCTTCATTCTTCCTCTGGACTGAAACTAGATTCTGACAAGATCCTTTTATTCTCAACAAGGAGTTGAACTGTTTAGCCTTTTGCCTTGGCTTGGGAAAAAAAAGTGGGGTTTTGATCAAGTTTGAACTTTCATGTTTTTGTTTGTATACATAGTTGTGGTGGTATTTTAATGTACAGTACTAGAGACCAACCACATGGTGTAAAAGACTTACGTAATGAATGGAAGTACAGCTACAGTGCTGGAATGGTGCTGGGTCTCATTGGGTGAATCTTTGTCATACATTTTATGAGTTACAGAACGCAGAAGTTCGACCTCATCTGAATTAAGAAATGGATAAATCAGTTTAAGAAGTGATTTATTTCACTTTGTTCACTCAAATGTTTAGCTCATGTGATTAGATTGTGAATAGATAAAATAGTAGTATGAATGACATACTACTGCTCACAGAACTTTTGATTGTAGTAAGCTTTATTGGTTAAACAACCATCCAGTCTTCCATCAGGTAAAAAATACAACATTGTTTCACCAATTTAATAGTTTTCTCTACAAGCTTAGACTATTGTCCTTTCCATGATGGAGTCTTTGAATTTGTATGTTTGCATCGACATTTTCTTTTATTTATTTAGCGAGAAATTGACTTGGGGAAAGTTCTTTATTTCTTTGGCTGAGTCATCCCACCTGGATCTAAATAACAAGTGAACGTGGAACTTGCACACTTTGATCCCAAGTGCAGCTGTTTTTAGCAGAAAAGATTAAACGCTGCTTTTACCAAGAGGTGTTGTTGAGGTGCTTTTCTTTGGGGAAAGAGAAAAATGTCATCTCTAAGTGTGTCCTGCAGGACTCGGCACTATGAGCTGCACTTTGTTCAGGTGTGCTGGAGATGGTGTGAACAATATAGAAGTCTGTCTGAGTGAAGCATTTCTGCAATGCCATCTACTTGTATGTGTGTGAACATCAGGACTGTCCTTTGCTAATAATTTGCTGGGAGAAGTGTCAGTGGATCCCATTGCTTTGTGTATGCCACCACCAAATTTTGTTGCACACCGTTTTTGTTGTTAGGCCTAGTGAGGCGAGTAGTGAAGCTAGATTTTGTAATTAAAGCTTCTGGAGTCGGTCCCAAAGGAATTTTTGGAGAAGGTGTGATTTAATTTTTCTTGCTCTGAAACCTGGATATGTTCCACTAAGAGGAGACGCCTAAAAGAATACCCAGGAAATGCTGACTGCAGTATGCATATTTTTTCTGAGTCGGGAAGTGCTGGCACTTGACATCTCTATGCATGAAATGTTTTATATACGGTTGCAGAGTATGTTTAATTAATTTATTTATTGTTTTTGTCAAATCACTTTATTTGATCAAAGTTTGAGATTTCAGAGCTGTTTGGGTAAATCTAACAGCTTAAGGTTTCTATTTTTTACAGTGTGGTTCCTATTGTGCCATTCCGACACACGTATATCCTCTGCAATTTGTGCCAATCTGACTTTAGAAAAAGGGGAAAATGTGTTCTTTCTCCACGGTGATCTGTCTTCAAAGTGGGCCTACACATGCCGAGGAGGGTGGCGGCGAGGTGATAAGTGTTGGGGATGTTGTAAATTTGAATACAATGACATAAACTAAAGCTGGTTGTCATGCTCGGCAGTTCTGCTCTGGCGGGTCTTTCCTTTCTGTCTAAAGCTTCTCGACACAGTTCCGGATTTGCCAAATCCTCAGACGACGAAACGAACCCTGTCGCTTCATTGTGTGAGCATCGAACGCCCTTCCACCCACCTTCTCCCCCTCATCCATCCTCCCTGGTCCTCTTCTCTCTCTACTTTGCTGCAGACATGGGGGGCGACAGGCAGGAAGTTGGTTTTCAGTTTGAGGCTTTAAGCATCAGGGATTGGTTTCAATTTAATGCCCCAATGTGAAGAAGAAAGAATCAATTTAAAGTAGCTGAGTCCCCTGGGTCTCCTGGTTGAGCGAGCAGTGGAAATGACAAAGACAGACAGAATAGAGAGATACAAATCACAAAGAAGCTAAGAAATTATTATAACAAAACCTGTAAAATCCAATAAAATAAAATGAATGTGTAAAAAGCTTTAATTTTGCAGTCTCTGATGTGTTTAAATGATGTGTAAAATTTATTTGCAATAACAAATTTAAAGTGTACAATATATACCCAGAGTCTAAATGAAAGTGCTGCATCCAGCCATACTCAGTGAGTTAACTTTTAATTCCGAATGATAAAAGATGTCCTGGTACCTCACCTGAGCGCACTTGGGCTAGCAGACATTTTGAGAAGATTAGATTTCTTTCTCTCTTAAAATGTATTAGTCTTTTGGGTAGACCTGGCTTACTTTTGAAGATAATTATATTTACTGGTTGGGCAGGCAAACGCATTTTATAAAAGGTTTTGTGATTCTTTTTTTAAGAGTGACAATGAGTTCCTGAACAGGAAAAACTATTTGACTGTTTATTCTTATTGAAAATTGGTCTGTTGTGAGAAATTAAAATGTGGTGAATAAAAATTTGCAAATGAGTTTGCTGAGGAACTAAGATCTGTTTATGTGATATAGCACATATGTGCTATAAACAATGCGATGAACAAAGCCCATTAATTTGAAGTGTTTAAAATATCAAACTCGATGATCTGAAATTGTACTAGAATAGTCAAAATCAGATGAAGTTTGATGATATTGCAGCTGGTAAAGTGAGTTTCCAGTTTTAATGCTAAATGGTTGAACCATTATAATTGTACTTTGTGCAAACTTTAAGTATCCAAAATTGCTCATTATCAAGAGCATTTCTGTGCTATTTAGGTAATTCACATGAATAATTTTACATCCTCTCTGACTGAAGAAGAATTTCCAGATGGATGTTGTCCATTAGTTTCTAACTTTATCTGCCATCATGTTAGTTCAGGCTGATTCTATTAAAGACGATGGAAGGGAAGGAGGATGTACAGGCAGGGGGAGGACGCTTGGATCAGATCCAGATGATTCCCAATAAGCTGAGATGAGCTGACATCCTAACAGAGAGAGTTTCAGAGAGGAAGAAATAGAATGTAATTAAAGGTGTTTCTGAAGAGTCTAATTGATGCAAAGTTCCCCAGTATGACTTTTATACTGCAGACAGAACGAGAGTTAACGTGACATTTGACAATAATTCTCAAAATGTTTGTTGCTTTGATAAATGCTCCGGGGTAAAGTCTGCCAGGCTCTCAGAAATGTGGAAGTACTGTTGGTTTAATTAGGCCAATGATGACCCTGTGAGTTTTCAAAGTAAACAGACCCTTTCATATTTCATTCCTTTTGTTGTTGTTTGGATGCATAGCCACCGTCCTTCAGGTGCTGAAGCTTCCACAGGAGCCACTTCAGCTAAGTAAATTATTAAATAACTAACATGCTTTGTGTTATGGTGGAAAGGACACTACTGTTGTTTATCTGTCAGCAATTAGCAAGTCAAGTCCTGCATCTCTGGCCTGTATTCAGCATGACTCCATCAGTGAATACATTAGCACCATAAAGTCAACAGGGAGAATGCAAAATGATGCAGAAAACAAACTATAGACATGGTAACACAAAGGAGAAAGGCTCAGAAACAAACAAGATGTTTTACACTGAGAAACTAATCATCCACAATGCAGATCTGCTTACAGCGAGGATGATTACTCGCTCCACAATCTCTGGAGGTGCTTCACGTTATAAGACAAAGAAGGCCACATCTTGTTCTCATCAGCACTGGGAAGTAATCCTCCTCCCTGAAAGGCATTGTGTTGAATTTTGGAGCAGCAGAAAGAACTGTTGCTGTATGCGGCTAAAAATAATACAGACTTTCAGCACTGTCCAATTTCACCCGACTTTAGTTCAGATTAAACTTCACTTTATACGTGTTTCCATTAGTAATTCCTTTCAATGTAGAGCTTTAACATGAACTGCTCCCCTTTTTTAAATCAAGTATTTATCTTACAACAGATGTTTATTGTTTTTGAATAACTCATCACTCTACCCCTTTTAACCATTTGTAATCTGCTGTCTTTCAGATTTTCTACGTCTGTTTGATATGTTTACCAAATTAATAGCTAAAATCACAATCAAGCTGTTATTAGACTGATGCTAAAGTCTAAAATCTGAACTGCAAGCCACCTTTGACAATTAAACTAGCATTTTTGAATTAAAAGTGAGAAAACTCATACATTTTATTTGTTAAAGAAAAGGCATGTTTATTTGTAAAATGCCACACCCTAAAAAATGATGGCTTGGAACAGAGATGAAACAAAATATAAAATGCATAAGGACAATAAACATCACACAAAATCCATAAATATTATTGAAATGAATTGCTAAGACATGAAAGAAATGAACTGATAGTGCTGTATTTGACTTTTATTAGAAAGCTGTACTAAACAGACAAGTGTAAATCTGACTGCACTATGTGCACATGACCCATCATGTCCATGACGATAAACCTATAATCTGGCAATATATATTTTTTTCCCACATGTTCATAATGTAGTGGAAAAGGATAATTGTAAAAGTCTTTCAGCTTGAAATACCTGTTCACTTTCTAAAATCTAAAGTTCAAGGAAAACTACAACAGCACTTATAAAGGTGCTTATTTAAATGTGTTTGTGCATCACATGGCTGACTATACATTATTAATTGCTCACATTTGGATTAAAATTTATTTTTATTGCATGTAGGCCATGGTGTTAAGCAGTCAGAAATTTTCAGCTTAGACACCAAATATTATTATTACTTGCTGTATGGCGTCCACCACTTGAACAGGGCCATGTAAAATCTTTTTGTGTTGAGCTTATCCTGTACAATAGGGACCTGAAGAGGGCCCTTCAGACTTACTTCTATTCATCTCTGATTTCTACAGGTTTCTTTATTCTTTTTTTTATCATAACACAGTGTGATGCTGTATTTTTCTGCATCTGTTTTTTGTTAATGGCCTTTTCCTCTTTGAACTTTGGTAGCCATAGGCTCCAGGCTCAG